AGGCAATATGATGGACTGCAACATAGCCAATTAATTCAAGGTCGCTGGACCATGATCTAGGAGACAGGGCCTCGAAACGGTCAACAAACTGGAATATACTGATGCTAATGCAACTGTATAGAAAATATCATTCATCATTCACATGTAGTTCCTATCAAACTGACTCAAGCAGAAAACTTATTAATTGGCTTGGACACAACTTTTCATTTTTTATTCTGAAACGCACTATTTCCATACATATACCAATACGTACTTGAGTTTTTGTACTGTGCAAGTCTTGTGTAAAGTTGAATCATTAACCTTGTTGGATGCAAGTTTGCTGACACTGAAAATACACACGTAACGCAGCAACGTACATTTTGTGTTAAAGGGGCAATTCTTTGGACATCTTTACAAATATTATACATGTATCGTAAAATTAGTTTTGTTTTAATTTTCAAAGTGAGAAAAAGTGTAGTGTTGTCTGCTCTATGGTCGGGTTGTTGTCTCTTTGACACATTCCCCATTTCAATTCTCAATTTTAGTAAATGTTTTTTTTTCGCAACATTAACTGATACGTCATCTGATTCCCATATTTTGTTTACTCTAACCCCTTTTTTAAAAATTGAAAACCAATATTGCATTATGTAAGTGATAGTACAGCAATGAACGAAAAACAAATGGAGCAATTTGGCGAAAACAAAGAATCCACTACATTCGTTTTAATAAAAGTCGAAGGGCATCTTGCAAGATGTAACGCTGTAAAGAACACAAATAACAATTTTACTAGCTTTGGACTATTATTTCTCATAAATTTATTATCCCTATACATAATGGTTCAAAAACAATATCTTTTGTTAGCAGTACATTTTTTTGTATAAATACTGAAGCATCTTTTTAAATATACTGACGGACTTCAATAACGCAACACTAAATTAGTCTGTTTTATTCCCTTTTTCAAATAGGCAATTTTTGTAAGAAAAATGTATAAGCATAAATTTTATTTATTTCTCAATTGTCTGCAAAAAGTTTGCAGCTCAAAAGTTGAACTGATGAGTTCATTTTTAAAGTTCAAATCATGTGGTATGCACTCAAATCCTGGTTTGCTCATTATCAATGGATGTGTCACTGTCGAAGGCAATGACTGCGTGAAACAAACGCAAAAATGATTGTCAGAAAGGTTTACCAATTCTGTTGAGCATGTTTTGAGTTCTGTTTTGTACCATCTAATGTTGCTTCTGTCACATGCATTACCCTGTGTTTTCGCAATTAAGTGGTTTAAACTTTAATGTTTCAAATGTTTTTTGCAGTCGATTCTTTGGCATTTCAGTATATGGGAAACATTTTAATCATGATCTGTCTGCCATGGCATTCGTCGACTTGATTAGCACTTGACGTTTTAGCCGTAAACATGTCTCGCAAATGACGTTGCATAATCAAATTTTATTGACGTTGCGATGTCACTACATATTTATCTGGTCATAGATGGTCATCAACAAATTCCGTCTGCCTGTACAGTTGTTGTAAGGACAGTAAAAGGAGTTTCTGACATGAAATTGTCTGAAAACTGCATGTTCACGTATTCCTGCCTGCAATATTCTTATGACCTGATTCAGATTTTCATTGCTTAGTCTCGGCAATATTGAGGTGCAACATTTTTTTTATGATTCAAGTGTGGGTGTGGATTGAAAGAATTGATTGTTTCACGAAAAAAATCATTTAAAAATCATTTATGGGTTTCAAATTTTGGCTTTAAGAAATTCGTGTCACTTTAATAATCCGGTATGTTTAATAACCTCTGGTATGTCAGGTATTGACCTTTTCTAACCATAAAGAAGTATGGTGAGCATGAATATTGGTTACATGAGGATCAATCATGATTTGGTAGAAAAAATCACCAAAATGTGTGTTGCGTTTCTAAAGACCGTCAGTATAGGTGGAGCACGTTATTTAAAATAACACCAGTATCTTGCGATGTCTCTTTATATAAGAACCTGTTTTTCCTCAATGAGTATATAAATGTAAAGACAATCAACAGTACTTTTTTGTTATTGTCCTTCATAATTTGGCAGTTTTGACTATTTTTTTTATTAATCCAATAGCATTGAAGACATAATTTAGCTTGTTAAGGCTGTTTATGGATGTTCTACAAATTCGGAAAGATTTGTATAGTCAAACATTTTCATAGTCCAACAATTCGATCAATTTGTAAATCTGTAGTTTATTAAATGTATCACTGTTTGGTATATATATTCAATCATTCCCCTCCCTACATTTATACTTTTATCACTTAACATTAAAGATTCTTTGATATACCAATATTATGGCGATAAATTATCAGAATTAATTCATGCTATCAAAAAAGGCTTTTTTAAAATGAGTTCTTCTAACATATCTACTTACTCAGTGTATTTTGATTTAACATTTGTAATAGTTATGTCTTGCTATCTATATTATTTAACTAAGCGAACTCAACTATTTACAGTAAAATAAAATAATTTGTACATATTCTAAATCTCATATCAATGTTACATCAATGGCTGTTACCTATATCATGTATATATTAATAGATAGCATATTAATGATATTAGTTTAAGATATTTAATTCAAGCATCGTTGCATTCAGCAATGAGGTATAGTTTTGAAAATAGATAATTTTCTGTTGGTATTATGTTTGCGTATCATAATTGTACCTTGCTGTTATGGCTTGCATTGGCTTGGCACATTTCCCAGTCATATTCAATGTTATTTTGAATACAATATTGTTTAATCTAAAGTAATATGCTGGTGGTTTATCCCGTAGTATTCAATATTATCGTTGTGATTCGGAGGTTAATTTTCATACAAAAGAGAATCGAATTAATTCATTAAGATTTTACTTTCAGGATTAAGCTTTATGTTAGCTCCTTTGCATCTAAAATATCCTGAATCCTCTATTTGAAAGTTCGTTATTGTGAAGAAAACATTGCTACATTATAATATAAAGAAGAAACCGAAACTACACAAATAAAAATGTTTGCACTCATTATGCATGCCAACTGACGATTAATCATGGAAAAAAGTGTAACGCTTGGTGGTACCAAAGCCGTGCCAGATGAAATGACGGAAGAACAGGAAGAACTCAATATAACAAACGTTATGGTATACACATCCGCTTAACACCTATACCATTCAAGGTTGGTATAGTGTCTGGTTCTAATCGTGTTTTGTCGAGTGATCTCATCGGGGTTTCAGGTGTGACCAGGTTTTTCTAGTGATTATTTGTGCAAAATGTTGCATAAAGACATCTTTTTTGGTAAAACGTAAAACCGAAGCTTAACATAAATATATGAAGCATTGTAAAACATGTAAAAACTTGTTATTAACCACACATCGATTGCATATAAATAGTGGTATGATTGCCAATGAGACATCTTTCTACCAGAGACCAAATGACGTAAAAGTAAGCTACTATGGATAATCGTACGGCCTTCAACAATGACCAAAACCCATATCTAATACCAAGATATAATAGACCCCAAAATGACAAATATTAAACAATTTTAAACGGGAATACAAACGGCCTAATTTATGTTCAAGACAATAAACGAAAAACAAATGTGATGTGTGTACATCAACAAACGTTAACCGCTAAATAACAGGCTCCAGACATGACACAAGCATCTAAGAAATGTGACAGGGTCAAACATGTTTTCGGGCTCCTAATCTTGGAGAGTGGTGTAACAAAATAACATAAGAACGAACTTTAAAAATCAGCTGAAAAATGCTAAACTCATTAATTATCTTTGAAGTCATACAAAATTAATAGTTTTATTCCAAAATGTAATATTGTGCCATTTAACAAACGAATGTAAAAATAAAAGAAAATGCGTATATCTTCAGTACCGGACTTTACATCTACAGCGCTTGACTTTATATCTACATCACTGGACTTTTCATTTCCAGCGCTTGACTTCGCATTTCCAGGGCAGGACTTTACGTCTCCAGCACTTTACTTAAAATCTACAGCGCTAAACTTTTTTCTTCTCCAGCGCTTGACTTTAATAAACACAACTTTTTATTGATATGGGACCAACCGGGATCCGTAGAAATACTCGAAATCAAAAACAATCCGAACGATGTAAAAAGTTAATTCTAAGTGAAATAAAATACAAACAAGCGTAGTTTGTCCTCGATGTGTTAAAAAATTTAATATTATTAAAAGCAATTTAAGCAGTATTATAAAATAAACTGATATGCTTGCGAAATAAAATAAATTGATTTGGTCGTATTTAATTGAACTGCGATAAAATCTGTCTTCATTCGAAAAAAGTGGAGCAATTCACTAAAAAAACACAATCTCAACCGAACACCATACCTACTTTGCCAATATTCATTTAGTAAATTCTACTGTCAACTTCACGAAAGGTTGATCGATGTCTCCATCCAAACGCACTTGTAGCATTTTTTCTCTGTCATATATCCCGTATATTTTGTTTGCCTCCGCCGCTAGGCGAAGGGGACATTAAGTGTTAAACTTGTCCGTCCCATCCGTCCATCGCATACCTACCCCAAAATTGGTTTCCGTTCTCTAACTTTAGTTTGCTTCAACCAAATGTTATAAAAGTTATACATACTGCCTATTACCACAAAGATCAAGTTCGAGATTGGGTGGCGTCACTTTTGCCGTTCATGAGTTATGCTCCTTTATAAACATAAAAATTGCTGAATTTTTCGTTTCCATTTTCTAACTTTAGTTTGCCTCAACCAAATGTTATGAAACTTATATGCAATGCTTATTACCACAAAGCACAGATCAAGTTTGAAATTGAGTGTCGTCACTTGTACCATTCTTGAGTAATGCCCCTTTATAAATGGAAAAATTTCTAAATCTGTCGTTTCCGTTCCCTTACTTTAGTCTGCCTCGACCAAATGTAATAGTATTTAGTGACAATATTTGAGGTTACGTAAACACAGGTGACACTATTTTATACATAAACATAAAAGAACAAAAAAAACAAACAACATCCCTAATTGCTATTTGTTATTGAACAATAAGAGCACTCAAACCTGCAAGGAATTTCTAATGACAACATGTAGAAAAGAAAAGAAAAGAAAATGTCAACAATTAGAAAATTGACTCATGCATATTTACAAGCTAAAGCGGGGGCATCTGTGGCCCATAGACACATTCTCTATTTATTTTTGTAAGGAGATAAGGAGATGTGATGTGATCATGATTAGACTGCTATAGTTGTATCGAACAGAGACAAAATGAATCGAATTTAAGCAAATTGGTTTATACCGGTTTTATCTTGGTTATTTTTTTCTTTCAAATATTACAACCTGGTCTGATTTTGGAATCGTTTGAATTTATGTGCGACAGGAAATGCTTACTCCGAGAGCCGATTTGGTTTCCCTCTGTCGCTTCATTTTACATTTATTTTCACTCCATGGTTGTCTGCTTTATATTCAAACTTGTGAGATATTTGAAAACCGGTAAAGTACCTTTATAATCACAAACCTGTTCAAAGGTTCTTTGAATTAACGTTATTTGAAATTCCACAACACTTAATTCGAAATTCTGGGACACTAGACCGAATCGTGTCATGTATAACAACCTATGTTCGACAATGCCCAATATTCTCTTCTGGCGTCAATTTTCGTGAATCCCTGTGATACTAAAAAATGGGCAACAAATTGTGAAAGAGTGCATTTAAAATCCTGCTAAACGTTATTCTTATGTATGTTTATGTTATAAATGAGTTCACTGCAGAAACACACACTTAGGTTTTAGATATGATTAGATCAGCAATTGTGTAGTCTAAGTCAAATTTACATTCAAGTAGACGTGTCTTCAAATTGTCATAGAAACGGTTCATCAAATTCATTTTGTCTTCCTGTGTGCGGTGATCTTGAAGGCTTTCGATCATAGGCGTATGACTCCAAACTCTTGCAACAGATGTCAAACATGAGGCCCACATTATATTTTCCTGATCTGCAAGTAATTATGATTAGAATAGATTGTTGAATTCACCCTAAAATCCAATTAAAAAATTCTTTGATAGTAATTATGTAAAAGTGTTATTAATAAATGGGATTCTTCAAATGAATGAATTTATTATTTAGTATAATGACTGTGTACCAACCTAATATTCAGAAGTTATTGTTCCTGATTTTTTTAGAAATATCTTGCAATTCAACGACTTACAAATGTATAATAACTATGGTTAATTTTTATCTATATATGAAATTAAAATTTGGGCTATTCGGACTTTCATTTTAACATTGTAACAAATGTTACTAAAACAACGAAGAGCAATGTTTTGTGTTTATATTTATAAATATCATTTGAAAGAATAGAGAATAGAAATGGGGAAAGTGTCAAAGAGATAATATCCCGAACAAAGAGCAAAACAACATCCCTGGGCCACCAATTAATCTTCAATGCAGCTCAAAAATCACGCACCCGCAGGCGGGGTTTAGTTGGCCTCTTAACATTAATTTATACTAGTACAGTGAAATGAACGCCACAACTAAACTTCGAAACATCCAAATGAACCAAAATTTAAAAAACACAAAAGACTAACAAAGGCTAGAGGTTCCTGACTTGAGACAGGCGCAAACATGCGGCTGGATTAATCATACTTTGCAAGATCTCAACCCTCCCTCTATACCTCTAGCCAATGAGGAATAAACAAACACACAGCAATACGCACATTAAAACTCAGTTTAGAAGAAGTCCGAGTGGGATGTTAGAATAGGTAACAGACAAAACTAAGCAAATTGACAATGATCAACATATGTTTGTAGGACTCTGAGGGTCGATGGAGACGCTGAAGTGCGATGGTCACGTTGAAGTGCGATGGTCCGTTCGCTGAAGTGCGATGGTCTTTATAACGTTTGATGGCTAGTTTAACATTTACAAAAGTTCAATTATTAGAGAAGAGTTTGTTATTAGTTAGTAGATACATTTGCATTTGTTATTGTCTATGTATGTCCTTAGTTACAATTGCATACTAAGTGAGAGATCATCTTCTTTGATTTTCTGGATATAATTCTGCGTTAACATTTTATCTTTACTCGGTTCCTCTCATGAGTTCCTCGTTTACCGTAATATTATTATACGGATAGTCTGTTTGCGGACCCGTATTAATTTAGAGAATGTCACGCTCTATCGAACGTACAAAAGAACCTTCAGATGATTTCGAAAAAAACAAAATCCCCCACAAAAGGTTTTCTTTTCCGTCTCCACCAAGCACTCCCCGTTTCCCGCAGTTTTAAGCTTTTAAGCCCCTTATTAACTTTTAAAAAACTCGAAAAGCTGCTCTAACAAACACATTGACTTCAACATCGACATGCAAAACATTGAAAATATAGTTCATGTAGTCCATGGCACTTCAGCGATACCATCATCTCATTTCGGCGTAGCTGTTAACAAGATAGCGTCACAATCCCACTTTAGCGTGATCAAAAACGCACTTCGACGTCAAACCATTGCACATCAGCGTGACCATCGCGGTTCGGATCGGAGTCTTACATATAAACAAAGGATTACTATAGCAGTTACTGACATGCCAGCCCCAATTAAACTGATCGAAAGATCACGTCTTCGTCATATACAAATCCACCACAACCCCTCCCGTTAGGCATTTAGTATCATGTCATCATAAATAATACGAGAAGAGCGTAACCCGTAGAATGCAAACATTTTATTATAATTGTTATCTATTTTACCGCTAATTTTAAAGTTAAGTGTTTTCCAGTAGTACTTTTCATATATTAGATTAAAAAGAACTTGTCATACCACATCAAATATTCATGTTTTTTTACAAGTCTGGAGCATTTTCAGTGGTTGACTTATGACATATCTAATTGTACCTAATTGTGCTATTTTGATCATTTGGTATTGGTTGATGTTTTCTGTTTAATATAGTCGCAAATGTTAAATCTTGAGAGATAATACAGAGAACTGTCTATTGGTGAAGATAAAGTAGACCTCTAGATGTCTTTCAGTTGAGTTTTTTTTTTTTGTGTCATTGGTGTCTTGTCGAAATAGATTATTGATGTACCATTATTTCTCCATTAACGACAGGTTATAGACTATTTCTTCTAGTTTAATGTTTAATACCTACTGTTTTTGTTTCCAGGATGTTTAGCCGCTGTCCAGTTTCTCCTTGTGAAGGATTGTAATTCTAAACCTAATGCAGAAACCTTTGATCCTTGGCAAAACGGTAGTCTCATTTCATCTTCTGAACGATGATAGGTTTTGATAAGCATGTTTTTATGTTCCTCCTGTTTAATAAAAACAAATATTGATTATTGGTTGCTTTACGTCCATGCAGTGGCAACATTTCATGCATGTTTGGGACAAAAAGTAATTAAAAATAAATGCAATATGTAGGTCCTGAAATAGGGATGAAGGGCTGGAAATTTGGATTTCCACTGGAAATTGAGGATATACTGGCTAGGAACAGAAATAAAGCCTGGCAAAGGGCCACCTACGGACCCCTCAAAGATGTATAACAAAATAAAAATGCTTAAATATCGACGAATGCTGTACATGTAATTACCTAAAGTAGTTTTCTATGTGTTCTTGTTTTCCCTCTCTAGTAAATGAATGTCGTTAAATTGAGAAATCATAACTCTATTTTGAAGAAACTTATAACGAGATGTCAAAAAAGGATATTAATAACAGAAAAAAAACCAAGTGTTTATAGTGAAACTATCGATACGAAAAGGAATCTCTATCCCCGGTTTTTGGTGGGGTTGGTATTGCTCGGTCTTTAGATTATATGTTGTGTTTTGTGTACTGTTGTTTGTCTTTTCGTCGTTTTTCGTTTTTTTGCCATGCCATTGTCAATTTGTTTTCGATTCATGAGTTTGAATATCCCTTTGGTATCTTTCGCCCGTCTTTATTATGTATTATCAAAGAGAATTTCTTTAAACAGTGCTTGTCCCATGTCATGAGCCTGTAGGTCAGTGGTTGTCGTTGGTTGATGTCTGTCATATTTGTTTTTCGTTTATCTTTTGGTCAATTATACTATTTACACTTGTTTTGTTTCTGTCATTAATTTATTTTTTAGCATCTCGTTATAAGTTTCCTTATAATAGTTTGTTTTTATGTTTCCATTGTTTCATAAATTGTCATGTTAAGGCCTTATATCGCTGATTAAACGGTATCGGTTTTACCTATTGTTGGATACCATACTTTAACCTTTAGCTGCGCTGCTTAATATTTTACCCATGTCATTTGGACTCTGATGGATAGTTGTCTTGTTGGCAATAATACCATTATATTTTCATTCACTCCTTATTTTCATATACTACACATAAAAATAAGAAGATGTGGTATGATTGCCAACGAGAAATCTCTCCACAAGAGACCAAATGACACACACATTAACAACTATAGGTCACCGTACGGCTTTCAACAATGCGCAAAACCCAAACCGCAAAGTCAGCTATAAAAGGCCCCGAAATGACAAATGTAAATCAATTCAAACGAGAAAACTAACGGTCTAATTCATGTACAAAATAATGAAACAAAAACAAATATGATACACAGAAACATACGATCACCACTGAATTACAGGCTCCTGACTTGGGACAGGCACATACAAAATGTGGAGGGGTTAAACATGTTAGCAGGCGCCTACACGGTTTGTTTCTTACCATTTGAAAAACAGGTGGTATGATGGAGTACAGAAATAGCATAGTTTTAACATCTCTTACAGCTAAACATAATAATCACATTAACCTGTTGAGGTTCATCAAATGAAATGAAAATGAAGGATATGGTAATTATATAGTTGCTTTATATGATAGGATTAAAGTACCTTAGATATATATCCCTCTTGAAACATTTTCTTTTGAACTTCTGACATTTGCCTGTGAAACTCTAAAGAACCATATTCCCCTTTGTCATCTTTAACCAAACCGATTAGATACATTTTTCCACCTGAAAACTATCAATAGTACTTTAAAGTATGGCGACTCGGTTATGTAATGACTTTCTGAAACTATTTGGTAACAGCTTTAACGTTAAATGTAGTATGCAAAATATTTATCTGAAGGAAATTCTCCATTTTACTTCAGGTAAGAATCCCATTTTAATTTCCTGGCCTGTGTAGTTTGCATATTCTGTCAACTGTTGGGAGTTCAACTGGAAGTTTTTTTTTCTATTTTCTTAAAGAAACAACGAATATTCGCAGTTATATGCCTTATTTGTTCTGATTATTAATACTCAAGGACCTAGCTGTGAGTTTACTTAAACTATGACCATTAAATATCAATATGTACATATTTCTGTCAATCCTGATGTCATATGTTAAAATTTGAATAATTTAAAAAGAATTTGGGAAAATATAAAATAATAAGTCGATAAGAATGGCCAGCGATGTTCAAAGCTCGAAAATACATTTTAGAAAGAGAGAGAATATACTAAGAGTACAAAAAAAATACAAACAAAATTAATGAATTAAGAAAAATGGTCTTATTCCGAAGCATTTACTACTTGGCGGCAATAGTGCCAGACAAATAAGCTTATTCGTAAAGTGTCATAACCAGTCATAATGTAAATTTTAGATATTCCATATTCTATGGGGATGCTTTCTTTCGTAACAAATAGTCCACCAATAGCGGGTTCGATCCTTTGGAAATGTAAAAAAAATCCTACGAGATGAAATCACACATAAAAAAGTATGTTTCAGAAATAACCTTCATCTTTGACGCTACAAAGTTTTAAGCCAATCTACACAACGTTTTGAGAGCACGACAACAATACACAAAAGATCTAAAGCCCTTTTAGGCCACAGATTTACAGACAAAAAAAAAAACAAAAAAACGAACGAATGCCATATTGCCGACTAATTGGCGTTTAGTACCCTCGAAGAGTTATAGTCCAGCAGCAACAAACCGGACCAAATAAAGTAACAGTATCAATATAGTAGCGCAGGCTACTGGGCGGAGAGTTTGTTAATTTGATAAAAACGAAAATAGAGATACATATAATATACCAGAAAAAAAACATTTTAAGGTTCTGATGTTTCATGAACCTGTAGAGATAGTGAGTACAAAATACAGAACTGCATTATATCCTGATGATATTAAATATATTTTATCCAGTGCCTTTATGAAACAAACAGTTATGCACAAATAAATATTAGATATATCTCTTTTTTTTACTTTTCAATATGAACATCGTCTCATGATTTGATGTTCTGTATAAGTAGACATTCGTAGAACAGAATATGAATACATTATATGTATTAATTATTCATATATAAAGGAGAAAAACTCTTAGGTTGTTACAATGGTTAACTTAATCTTTTTTATTAATTTATGCTAATTTCATTTCGAATACAAACATATATATTTTTGTTTTTGTGTGTGCATCAAAATCATTACTCTGTTCCTCCTCTGTTCTGAAGTAAGGATGACGATTGTACTTAGGTAAAACTAAAAAAATCTAGAATTTAAAATTGATAAAATAAGTCAAAAGAACATATGTTAAGGAACAAAAGAGCCAAAAATATTGATAGGTTATGGAACTCCTTTTTGAGATATTTGACTTTAAAAAATTGTTGAAAAAAGGCTGACCTATACTTTTACCTTATTGGTATTATTTGGGTCTCAAATCTTAAGAAAAAAATCTAGAATCTGCTTAAATTTTAGTAATGGCCTTTTTTGAGCCAATCAAGTCTTCCATGAAAAGAAAAGTGGGTGATATGCGGCAAAATATTTTACCCAGTATCGTTGGAAAAAACCCAAGGAGTCCGAACATCTGACAAAAAATCCTAAACCTGAAAAATGTCAAGCAAAAGCATGTCAAGGTCAAGGATATACAACATAAAGATATGTAAAACGTATAAGACTTTTTTAGTACTCATTACAAAACAGGAATACCCTAGCCATTAGACTTTTCTTTATTTTTCTGAAGCTTGCTCTATTTAAAGATGAAAGCTCATTGACCCCTCTATACAAAACAGAAATACCCGAGCCATTAGACTTTTCTTTCTGTTTCTGAACCTTGTTCTATTTAAATATGAAAGCTCATTGACCCCTCTGTACAAAACAGCAATACCCGAGCCATTTCATTTTTCGTTCTGTTTTTGAAGCTTGCTCTATTTAAAGATGAAAGCTCATTGACCCCTTTATACAAAACATAGATACCCGAACCATTAGACTTTTCTTTCTGTTTCTGAAGCTAGATCTTCTTAAAGATGAAAGCTACTTGACTACTTTATACAAAACAGAAATACCTTAGCCATTAGACTTTTTTTCTGTTTCTTAAGCTAGATCTTTTTAAAGATGAAAGCTACTTGACCACTTTTTTTACGAAACAGGAATACCCTAGCCATTAAACATTTTTTTCTGTTTCTGAAGCTTACTCTATTTAAAGATTAAACTCTTTGAGCCCTCTATACAAAACAGATATACCCGAACAATTTGACTTTTTTATCTGTTTCTGAAGCTTAATCTTTTTAAAGATGAAAGCTACTTGACCACTTTATTTGACAAAACAGGAATACCCTAGCCATTAGACATTTTTTTCTGTTTCTGAAGCTTGCTCTATTTAAAGATTTATCTCATTGACCCCTCTATATAAAACAGGAATACCCGAGCCATTAGAATTTTTTTTTTTTCATTTGACCCCTAAATCATTTCAAAGTTGTGCAAACGATTATGCTAAGATGCTTTAGATCGATGCAGAAAGAACATATGTGAAGTGGACATCAAAAGGATGCTAAACTTGACATGTTAGGTCTAAAAGTTTAATTTTATTCGTATACAATTAAAAAGTAAAATACAAGCATACCTCGTTTTAATTCTTTTCCTCGTTGGAGTAGGAATGTTTCCCAGTCCTTCTCGGCTTGTTGAGCAAATTGTTTCTGTTCAATCTCGTTACCATCATGAACGAACATTCCATTTTCTATATTGCAAGGCCTGTTCAGTAGAAGTTTGTTTTTCAATCAAAAAATTTAGTTTTTGTGTTCAGCTTTTTAACTTGGGTAAAAATTAGAAGAAAAAAAATATTCAGAAGGCCATTGGTTAAGGGCATACAATACAGTTACAGGGGGGAGGGTAATGACGTCGCTAATGTAAAATGTTATTTTTCGCGACGTCAAACTGTAACATATCGGGAAAAGATACATTTTCCGACTGAGTTTTATCATTCAGACTGATTTAATTTGAAAACAAGTTCATGGACCCCTCTTTTTTAAAAATGACATTTGATTTGATTATGTGTGAAGATTATTTGTGCCAATTTTTATGAAATTTTCACCGATGAATTTTTTTTTAAATCAGATAAATATACATTAAAAAAAATGCCGTTTTTTGACTAAAATCATGAAAATGTGATAAAAATGAATAATTTCCAAAGAATTGTTACACACATTCAAAGCATACTTATGTAGAGAAGATATTCCAGATGTTTTTTACAAAAATCTGCTTGCGTTTATCTTATGAAACAAAAAAGTTAACTATGTCTTTCCAAAGGATAGAAATGTCCAAGAAACAGTAATAATCAGTAAATGTCTAAAATTTTGACCCCATTTATCTCTAAAAGTAGCACATGAAGGCATAATTTTTATTACATATTTGTATGCAAACTTTCGTCAAAAATTCACCGTGAGATCAAAACTGTATCGTATGCCCTTTTGATAAAGAACATTTGGCAGTACATGTGCATAGTCGGTTTATACTTATATCAAACAAATGCGTGGCTATTCGTATGGTTTTTTTTTTTGTAATTCTTCTCTGAACACTTGAATCTGTTCAGTATTGTAGGCCATCTTCTGTTAATCATTTTTTTGTCGAAAGGCAATGGAAACCTCTATTAAGTGTTATAAGAAACATACATGTTTTAGCTTTCTTAAAAGCTTTGGAGTGTTTCGTTGTGTCATCCTTGTCAGTAAGATGTGGTCTGTGTGGTTGTTTAAGTATGGGAAAAGTGTTATTTATCTCCTAAGTGCAAATACTCATTAATTTGGTATTTTAAGCCCGTCTTTATTCATGTTTGACGCATTATTTATTTGCATATGGATATTCTCATGCATGTTTTCCTACACAGCCATTTTATTAAATTCATATTAGATGCTCCTTAATATTCCAAATCATTATCACAACAATTCTAATGAACAATTCGCAAGGTATCATGGTCAAGACGTATCTTTTTTTTTTTTTTTTATATATCATTTGGTTTTATAACATGGAATAAATATATTTTCAGTCTGTCAAAATTCTTGAAGATTATTGGTAGTAATATGTATTTTGTGGTGTATATGCATGTCAAATGTGTACTCAGAAAATTGTTCATCTATTCCCTGCATTTTTTCTCATTAACATGAATTTGACACGACATTATAAAGTATGAAAACCAGTAAAGGCAAAATTATTCATTGATCGGGTATCAGATCTGATCTATAATACACATACTGGAATTTTGTCCGTATTTAATTTTTTCTCCTGTCTGGGACATGTTCCAAATTCTATATTTCATTCTAGTCAATAGAATCATTCGCACACCGTGAGGCAACCAATGAGAACCGATATTTGTTACGTAATGATTTCAAGATGGCTTGATTATCGTATGAAACTAAAAGCTTCGCACCGTGATGCGAAGCAATCAGAAGGAAATTTCAAAAACAGAATCAGATACAACATGTACATATATTGTAGTTACACACACACCTATGTGCATAAGTGACAAGGCAGCAAAAAATAATTTACCATGCTAAAGTGAGCATGTGATAATTATATTGTTATTAAAAAAAGGCAATTAAGGGCACACAATTAAGATGAACTTTCGATTAAAAATGGGGGAAAAAAATGAAAACAGCACTTTATAATTCTTATGCGTTCGAAGAGCTTTTCCGGATTTACTTTCACCAGGAACAATGGTTAAATGAACAAATTAGACATGTCATTATGGCTTACCTTTTTGATAACCAATGGAATCCAAATGTTGAAAATATCAAATGTATAAAATTTGACGGTAAGCATTGTTTATACATGTCCTTGGAACACACAGCTTGGTACATATTATGTTGATTAAGCTTGCCTAGAAAGGTGAAAAATATCAATTAACTTAACTTAACATTTTGCCTCCGTTTTAATTTTTCTTATTATTCTGCAATTGATTGAATGAGTGTTCATTTATGATATGTCAAAGTTTTCTTAAAATACACCTTGGTAATTTGAGTTTAGACAATGAAATTGACCAGTTTTTGGTGCCCTTAATATCACTCGAAAACACTACTAGGAGAACATTGTTTCATTGTATTCTATGAAAAAGTCATGTTCTCAATATAAGGAATAGAAACAATTGTAAAAATTCTCAGTAAAAGCACATATAAACTAAACCTGAAAAATCAAGTATATATCTACTGGCTGAATGTAACTTAATGGAAGATAATGGCAAAAATGCAGGCAATTCTCTGAAGATGATGATGACGAGGTGGAGGAGAAGGAGGTTTAACCCAGCATTGTACTAGACTAACACGCCGAACCGGATTTTTAATTTGCTAGTTCACAGGTAACAGTCCACAGGAAGACATGTCACCCTACCCAGACACACTATTCTGACTCCAAGCTGATCTGTCTTTGCTCTTACTCCTTAATGCCGCATGCTTAGCGGAAACGCAGCAAATATCAATTTAAAGTCTTTGGTTTGACCAGGTTGGGGTTTGAACATTCGAGACGAACACACTACCACGAACATATGATTTGCCTATGGCTTATTTCTTTAGTGGTCAAAAGACTGATGCCAAATTTTCAAAGCTATTTAAAAAAATACAACGAATTCCTTACAGTGCAGGATAAAGCTTTACAATATCATTTTGAATGAAATGTATGCATATAGATTTTAATATAATGAAATTTAAAACACCAATGGTCTTTTACAAGTAACTCATACACGTGGATAATTAACCAGTGAAGCTTTTACATATGAAAAGAAAAATGATAAGTCACTGAAGTATCGTTGAGAATCCGGAACTAAATTGCTGATTAAGTAATAAGAGTGATGATAAAAAAAAGTAAACAGTATATATATTAAGTCTGAAGATTTTCACAACGGTACTAATAAAAGATAGAAATATACGAAGATGATGTTATAAAATCGTGTTGATAATTTTAACAATACCAGTATTGTTAAAATGATTTACACTGACGATTTTATAACATCATCTTCGTATATTACCATCTTATATTAGTACCGTTGAGCAAATCTTTAGACTTTTATAATGTGTTCCTTATCTGTGCAGTATCGTCTATTCTAGAAACAGGCAGTGGTGAAAACATGAAAAACAAAAACCCGTTCAAGTTTACATTAATTTAAGTTCAAAATGTATAATGGTGCACGAATATAACATTCGTTTCCTTTTTCTGTACTGGTATTTCAAGATATAATTTGGTTCAAATGCACTAGAAATTACCAGTTATGGGGAGCTAATTCCGTAATTTGCTACAATTCTAATCAAAAGTTATCTGGACATTTCTCAAATTACAAGACACGCAGAAACAAAAGACCTACCATTTATAAATCAGGACGAGGGTAAACTTAAAAAAAGAATGTATTAACAAGTGTAAATTGAAAACAACGTTCAAACCTATGATTGCGTTGGATAAATAAACAAGTCTAAATTGAAAACAACGGTCAAACCTATGATTGCGTTGGATAAAAACCGCAATGTTTATGTAAACAAGTCTAAATTGAAAACAACGTTCAGACCTAGGATTGCGTTGGATAAAAACCGCAATTTTTATACGTGTGCATGCAAAACAAATTTCTTGTTAGAGGGGTTACAGCACAAACAACATTTTCCAAAAGACCGAAAAAGTGAAAAAGTATATTTTAACAAAACGCATTTGACTAACAGGTCGAACAACAAATGTTCTTAAACCCTGCTGACTGCCATTGGCGATTGCCAATTAAACGGATCACTGATGTAATAAATGGATCTTAATTATTAATTTAATACTAAACAGAAAACAATAAACTTGCGGAAAAGATGGTATACCGCAAACAAAAGGTGCAAAGGTTTTTGTACACCATATCCGGATTTCGACAATTAATGTCTCTTCGGTGATGTTAGGATTTGAAACGGTATTTGGAAAGCCATTCAGTGATGTTAGGAATCGAAACGGTATTTGGAAAGCCATATAATTTACCTCAATTTAGGATAGACTCTTGAATTTTTAGGAGTCAAAATAGGATGAACGGATCATATAAACTCGAAGGCAAATATAATACAAGCCCAAACGAAAAATATCAAGTGACAACTCTACGACAGATCCAAACATTGGATCACCAGTGAAGGTGATACACGGCTGAAAACACGTACTATATTCATAATTATCAGCACAACAATGTTAAATGTTATTATTTCTGTTACTGCATCTTACGATCCTTTACGACAAATAACTTAGCTAATCTGCAATCAATTCCATCTTCATGCCTAATATATCAACTCTTACTCTAACTTACAACTCTAGGTTCTACTGACGAGGAAAGGTAACACTTGGTAATCGAAAGATGAATTTTAAGTTCAGTCTAGGTGGCCGAGTGGTCTAGAGCGCTGGACACAGTGCATCGGTGTTGTCACGAAATCCCAATTGCATGCATTCGAATCCCGGCGAGGGAAGAACAAAAAATTGCTTCCGCAAATTTGCAGATTTAACATTGTTGTGTTGATATTTAGAGTAATTATGTATATATATGCCTTCGGGTTTATATGATCCGTTCAACCTATTTCGACTCTTCAAAATTCAAGAGCAAATTTAGATAAATTATATGGCCTTCCAAATGCCGTTTCAATTCCTAACACCACTGAAGAGACATTAATTGTCGAAATCCGGATATGGTGTACTGATGTTTGCACCTTTTGTTTGCGGTATACCATCTTTTCCGCAAGTTTATTGTTTTCTGTTTGGTATTAAATTAATAGTTAAGATTCATTTTGTTACATCTGGTGATCGGTTTATTAATAGTTAAGATTCATTTTGTTACATCTGGTGATCGGTTTATTGGCAATCGCCAATGGCAGTCAGCAGGGTTTAAGAACATCCGTTGTTCGACCTGCTTGTCAAATGCGTTTTGTTAACATATACTTTTTCACTTTTTGGGATTTTTGAATAAAATGTTGTTTGTGCTGTATTTAGACCCCTCTACCAAGAAATTTGTTTTGCATGCACACGTAAATAAAATGCGGTTTTTATCCAAAGCAATCATAGGTTTGAACGTTGTTTTCAATTTAGACTGTTTATATGTTTTCGTTTGGGCTTGTATTATATTTTCCTTCGGGTTTATATGATCCGTTCATCCTATTTCTAATATTTCGACTCTTCAAAATTCAAGAGTCTATCCTAAATTGAGGTAAATTATATGGCCTTCCAAATACCGTTTCGATCCCTAACATCACTGAAGAGACATTAATTGTCGAAATCCGGATATGGTGTACTAATTTTTGCCCCTTTTGTTTGCGGTATACCATCTTTCCCGCAAGTTTATTGTTTTCTGTTTGGTATTAAATTAATAATTTTAAAAGATTCATTTTGTAACATTGTGTGATTCAATTGTTTGTGCTGTATTTAGACCCCTCTATCAAGAAATTTGTTTTGCATGCACACGTATAAAAATTGCGGTTTTTATCCAACGCAATCATACGTTTGAACGTTGTTTTCAATTTAGACTTGTTTATATTTTTTCGTTTGGGCTTGTATTATATTTTTCATCGGGTTTATATGATCCGTTCATCCTATTTCTAATATTTCGACTCTTCAAAATTCAAGAGTCTATCCTAAATTGAGGTAAATTATATGGCCTTCCAAATACCGTTTCGATCCCTAACATCACTGAAGAGACATTAATTGTCGAAATCCGGATATGGTGTACTAATTTTTGCCCCTTTTGTTTGCGGTATACCATCTTTCCCGCAAGTTTATTGTTTTCTGTTTGGTATTAAATTAGTAATTTCAAAAGATCCATTTTGTAACATTGTGTGATCCGTTTATTTGGCAATCGCCAATGGCAGTCAGCAGGGTTTAAGAACATCTACTGTTTGACCTGTTACTCAAATGCGTTTTGTTAAAATATACTTTTTCACTTTTTTGGTCTTTTGGAAAATGTTGTTTGTGCTGCATTTAGACCCCTCTATCAAGAAATTTGTTTTGAATGCACACGTATAAAAATTGCGGTTTTTATCCAACGCAATCATAGGTTTGCAAGTTGTTTTCAATTTAGACTTGTTTTTATATATATATATATATATATATATATACAAGTCTAAATTGAAAACAACGTTTATATATATAAGGAGGACAAATTATGTGTTTTACATAAAAAATAGAAATAAGAAACAAAGCGTAGAAAAATGTCAACAATCTAAAGTCAGTAAATTATGATCAGGAGGTTGATAAGCAGATTTTCTAACATCTCAAAATTAATGTAAAACCAAGTTTTCAAAGTCTACTAGAAAATGAAACATTCGACAAATGTGATTAGATACATTTGGTTAATATCTAAATTCAATGTCACTAAAAAAATGGCCATCAACCAGAACCCTATTTTTGAACCCAGAGTGCTTGAATCATGTGAATAGTATACAATGTGCAGTAACCAAAATATTAAAATGTAGATGTATATAATAAGCACTTCTTAATAAAACCACCTAAGCAAAAAACTTAACATTTATAACCTATGTCACTAGGTCAATGATTTAAATGTATATTTAACAGTTCAAATATTAACAATAAGCAAAAACATTGATTGAGTTTGTCCAACAAATAGAGCGATCCGAGGTTATAGCTTTTAAGCTTTATGTAATTTAATTCTCAGTTTTAAACACAAATTCATATTTCTTTGACGGGTTTTAAGTATATATGTATACAAGTATCACATTCAGAACGTTTGTATTATTGTTCTCGTCACACTTTCTATCATTTAATCCCACAAATGGATTGACCATTCGATATGCTTAAGTCTTCGGTATATCAGTGATTGAGTCAGATCTATGAATTCTGTTTCAAAGGCGTTTTTATATACATGTTAAAATAAGAAGATGCGGTATGATAGCCAACGAGACAACTCTCCACCAGAGACCAAAGGACATAGAAGTAAACAACTATAGGTCACCGTGCGGCCTTCAACAATGAGCTTCACTTTGAGCGCATTTCGCTCACAGCGACTACTTCCTCATGATTTACACAAATTTTCGGTAGATATATTAAGGCGCAGTATTTGATTTTAAATTGTTAATCAACCAGCTTTCAATCGTGGTCCTATAAACACATAACATTTCAAAAACAACTTACATTATAAGCTTCTTATGTTTTCCCCCTGAATGAATGTTTGCTTAATATTAAGTAGCAGGTATTACATGAAGATTTCGGACAATAGTCTGATAATTTCGAATATATCATATATTTTTACTACACCTAGTACTACACACTTAATCGAGTTTAAGCCCATATGGTAACAACACAGGAATACTAGTTTTAATATACATGTACGGATTAATGTTATCATTATGATTCCATACTTATTATTCGATTCCTTGCTGTCTCTTCTAAATGCAATATATCAAAACATCAAATATCGATTGTATATCATCATGATGAAATCAGCTGAGAATGACCCTATGGCATCCTGCACTCGAATGAGAAACGTAAAAAAACTTTAGGTCCAGGACGTTTGGATTCATTCCGATGTTGAAGTATTTTCGTGGTCCGTTTTGCTCCACGAAACTCAAACGCCCGATCATAAAACAATAGCATGTTTGAACAACTAGCAACACATATATTTCCGATCTAAAATTAATACTCGATGTTACTGAAACCTAGTTCCAGGTCAATTACAACTTTAAAATAAATCACGTTCACCTAGACTTTAAATATTAACCAGTACTAGTCCAATGGATTTAATGTTGACTTCATAAAGCGTCCGAGAAAACATGACCTGGTGTAATGTGAAAATATTAATAGTGATATGTTTTATGTATATTAGTGTTTATAACTCTATTTGAATAATATTTAATTATGTTTTAATTTATTAAGAACCACATCAATGTTAGTACCTTTGAAGATAATATTCAAGAACAGATCATCTATGCTGTATGTCGTAAAACCTTTCTGAATTGTAGGTCCACAATGCTCTTCGACTACGTACGTTATTTGGCCTTTTAACTGTATTGATTCGAGCAACACTGATGAGTCTTTTGTAGACGGAGCGCAAGTCAGGCGTACTAAATTATAAGCCAGGTATCTTTGATGAGTTTTTATTACAGTGTTTAATCTATAACGTATACAAATAAATGTATTCAAAGGATATCCATTTTGCAATACAGTTTCACTAGTAAGTCAAACTTCCAAAAGCAAGTGTTTGTATCTATGAGAGAACTGTGTAGATGTATTAAGTATTTTATATGCAAGTGTTTGTATCTATGAGAGAACTGTGTAGATGTATTAAGTATTTTATGTGCAAGTGTTTGTATCTATGAGAGAACTGTGTAGATGTATTAAGTATTTTATGTATCAACATACCATTTATAGTGCTGAAGAGACTACTAAAGTTATTATTCGGATGATCTTCGAATATTACAAACACCTGTCTTGAATGTTCATCTATTTTTTCTGCAATAAATACAAGTTTGGCAACTGTTAGCACTACAATATATATATATAAACAAGTCTAAATTGAAAACAACGTTCAAACCTATGATTGCGTTGGATAAAAACAGCAATTTTTATACGTGTGCATGTAACAAATTTAGTTTTTAGAGGGGTCTAAATACAGCACAAACAACATTTTCCAAAAGACCAAAAAAGTGAAAAAATATATTTTTACAAAACGCATGTGACTAACAGGTCGAACAACTGATGTTCTTAAACCCTGCTGACTGCCATTGACGATTGCCAAATAAATTGATCACAAGGTGTAACAAAATGGATCTCTATATTAATTTAATACTAAGTAGAAAACAATAAACTTGCGACAAAGATGGTCAACCACAACATGAGGTGCTAAATTGTTTACACCATATCCGGATAAATGCCTAGGAATGTAATTTTAACACTTTAGAGTGCGTACTTTTGAACCTGGTGGACTAAATGAGAGAGATGAAAAACAGTTTTATAAAAAAAAACAAAGGAATAATCTTGAACTTCATATTATTTAACTATCACAATTATTTGATTTGATCTATTAACCGCAATGTACATGATGTACAATAAGCTGCAAAAGTATATTTACCTGACATGTGCGATTGCAAAAATTTCTTAACAGCATCCGATTTTACCTGGATGGCTGCATGCGCCCGATGGAGCTAATTCGTTTTTCGAAATATTGCGTGAATATATAAAATATAACAACTATATTATAACACAAATTAGCGTGTTAAAGTTACATTCTTGGGCATTTATATAATTTAATTTAGTAACTGCATCAGTTTATTTTCAAACTGATCCACGCCTAGATAGATTGAATGTCGATTGTTGCTACTTTTAGACATTATATAGATATAGATATATGTAAAACTCAGATCGAATTCCGGTCTCTAATCGACGTCCGTTCCTCAAATCGACTTTTAAATCTGCATGACGTCATAATGAAATATTATTCTAAAACGACAGCCAGTTCTTTATCCCTGTAATCGACGTCTTTTTTGCGGTTCTCAAATCGACGTCCAATATTTGGCTTCTCTAATCTTTTTATGGACAGCACAACTTTATTTAACGAAAACAACTGACATATTCTTGATTTGATACAGGCATTTTCCGAATGCAAATGGTTGGCTGAACCTAAAACTCAAGTGGTTGTTAAAAATATAAGACATCAAATCTGGCAGAGTCCAAATAAAACTACTGTTCAACAATTGACTGTACTTCTTTATTCTGTCTATTGTTTGAGACTGCATATTGTCCACTAGATGTTTTTTGGATATCTTTTTCGTTGGATTGATGTCTCATTTTCGTATATCCACATGCCAAGTTTTTATATGAATATGAAAGGAATAAGACAACGAACTGCGAGTTAACTTTTCCCTCAAAATATTGATATGCATGTACATGCAATATGATGTTGGTGTTTGTCTTATTGTCATTTATAGATGTTTGTCCTTTTATTTTTATTTTGCTGACTATTAGGGACGGGTTGTTGCCTACTTTTTTGTTCCTTCTCCATGTTTTCAAAGATGTCAACTAAGCCATTATGATTTGTAAAGTAAAAATATATATGAAAACAATTAGTTTCTTTAAGCAGCTTTACACAAAGACAAAAAGAAACAGATAATGTAAACAAAGATCATACTCAAAATAAATGATTAAATGATATTAGACATCGATGAGAGGAGACTGATGAATCGGACTTCGTTTTGGTATTACACGACGTCACATTGGACGTCGATTAAAGGTTAAAATATTGGACACGTGACTTTATGTCGTAACTACAATACCCTTCCCTTTCCACGAATGTGACTTACCGAATTAGACTATTTACCGGATTTGTAATAACATAAGCAACTCGACGGGTGCCACATGTGGAACAGGATCTGCTTACTCTTCCGGAGCACCTGAGATCACCCCCAGTTTTTGGTGGGGTTCGTGTTGCTTAGTCTTTAGTTTTCTATGTTGTGTCATCTGTACTATTATTTGTCTGTTTGTCTTTTTATTTTTGGCCATGACGTTGTCAGTTTGTTTTCGATCTATGAGTTTGACTGTCCCTCTGGTATCTTTCGTCCCTCTTTTACATTGGACTTCTATTTGAGGAACGGACGTCACTTAGAGACCGGACGTCGATCTGATTCTAACATATATATCAAGATATTATAAATATCATTGCACAAGTTCATGTTATTTAAGGTTTATATCAGACTGTTTGTGACGTCTTTACACTTTATCAGTTTGGTGTGTACTGACGAATAAATTAATCAGGAAGAACTCATTTTTTTTAGTTGTTATGTAGCTCTCAGTAACTGCGAGTACTCTTATATCTGTACTTTGTGGGGTTTTTTTTTCTCGTCTTTCTGTTATTTTTTTGTGTTTCGTGTCGATCTGATGAGTCAAGCCATTTCCAACTGATTTTTTACAGTCTGTTCGTATCTTGTGCTGTGCCCGGTTATGGGAGGGTCGAACGCCCACAAACATGTTGAACCCCTCCACTTTCTATATTTGCCTTTCCCAAATTATAAGCTATTTATCTGCCGAGGGTTGCTGTCGGTCTTACTTGATTTTCACTTATAGTTGTGTTATAAATCGGGCTGCTTCTTTTTTCGTTTGAATTGTTTCACATTTTGTCATATGGGGTATTCACAATTGACTTTACGGTATGGATTTTGATCATTGTTATAGGCGTACGTTGACTTATAATTGCAGACACTCGCTTCATTTGAACATCTCATTGTCAACCATACCACATTTCCTTATATTATATAGTAACAATATCAACAGTACTAATTTTACTTCATCAGATGCGCATTTCTTCAATTTATAAAATTGAGAATTGAAACGGGGAATGTGTCAAAGAGACAACAACCAGACCAAAGAGCAGAAAACAGCACAAGGCCACCAATGGGTCTTCAACACAGCGAGAAAAATCCCGCACCCGGAAAGCTCAAGAACAAACTGGAAACGTCTAGCTAAAAAAAAAGACATTACAAAAAAAATATTTGCAAAACAATCAGTAAACATATTATCGCTGTGTTGAAGACCCATTGTGGCCTTCGCCTGTTTTCTGCTTTGGTCTGGTTGTTGTCTCTTTGACACATTCCCCATTTCCATTCTCAATTTTATAACATAAGTTAATGAAGAACAAAGCCAAATAAACGGATGTGAAAATATGTCAATGATTTCTACAATAAATACATATTACATTTTGTTGTGTATTTAAATAAATGTTAGCGTAAATTTATTTTTAAAGAAGAATGCGTACCCTTCATTTTGTTAAGTATTTCAACCGAATTCCCTCCATCCGCCGTACAGTAATCAGCAATAACTATTACGTCATCTTCAAAATGCTTGCACAATGTTTCTAAAATGAGTATACGTAACGAAAGTTTTTTCTGAACAAAATGTGTTGTACTCGTTTAAAAGAAATAATAATAAAGCAGAGTTTATCATCATTATCATCATTAGATGTTTCATTGTTTTTTTGTTGATTTTTTTTTTTGTGCTCCTGTATTGTCTGACTACTGATTATGGATTCTAATTTCAGAATAGAGCTGGATTTTGATAACCCTACTTATTTCAATGTTGTAATTTCCCGACCTATTTGTTATTACAAAAGCATGTGACTGGTGGAATAAGTTATTGCAAAAACAGTGTTTTTAAATGAATGAATTATGAATAAAGCATTGTTTACTCCCTTTTCAAAGATATATAGTATACTTAGAATTCAATTAATTAACAGACTAAATGCTTATAAAAGGCAAAACATCTGGTCATATCTTGACCAAATTCGTTAGCCTTGAATCTGTTCGAGTAATTATGTTCGATTGTACCATATTTATTATAGAATAACAGAAAATTGTTTTGATTTCTTTGTTTTTGTGTAAACCGGATATGCCGCTTCAATTGCAAAGCGATTGAGAGAAAGACGGAAAAAGTACACAAATTTCATATTCGCAAAAAGACTTGTTCAATGGCATCACGTTTCATAATATTATTTCACATAAATATTTATTTGAAAAACAGTTTATACACAAACTCTAAATTTTGTAACTTTTGTGCATAATCGTCATCTCTTCTAAAACTAACAATATGAAAAAAGTGGTAATTTAAAATTTCCTTGTTCAAGTGTTCAGTTCCATTTGATGACCGTTGAAGTAAGGTATAGAAAAAACACATTTGACGCAAAGAAGAATGGAGTGTAAACCTTCAGATGATGGCCTTTAGCTCATAATGAGGTCACAATAACGAGAGTTAATCCTTATAACGACACTGTTCATAGCTATGCACTATTCAAGGACAGTTCCGAAGCAAAGAACGAAAATACACAAGCCTAAACATTTTGAAACCTCTTATTATTTGATTTATAAAAATCTATACCCTGTTTGATGAGTTTGTTTTCTTCTAAATAACTTTTTTGTATATACATGTATATGAAAAAAACGAAAACGTTAGAATAAAGAAGATTTGTCAAAATTGTAAACCAAATATAAGCACAATCAAAAATACCGTAAATTTAATTTTTTCGTAATCAACATACCTATGCATTTGAGAATGGGCTCCGCAGAAGATATAATTATTTGGTTGCAAACTCTCATTACATCAGAGTACCGACTTTGTTCGTCTGAGTACATCATACTTTTTTTCCTCTTTCTGAAAAGTGAAATGATAAGTTAGCAATAACATATTGGCCACGTGCTGCTCACCTACGTTTAAAGATGACTCCAATATCCTTGAAGGATACTAATTAACATAAATGAGTGTATATCCCTGTGGAAATTTCCGGGAACTTTGACATCATAACCTGACTTCAATGAACCAGATATCGCAAGTGACCAATCTCTGTGTTATAGTGGCATCATAGATAACCTATGAAAGCCGTACAGCTTAATATTTCCAATGGGTCATTTATGAATACCGATGTGGGTATTTTAAGGTTTAAAATCAGACTTAAGTAGGAACATGGTATTATAAAATTAAGAACAATGATTTAATTATTATCTAGATCTGACATTTCTTTCTTGTTCTACATTGGCACATCTCAAAAGTTTGACTTCTTTTTCTAAAACATTTCGATTCGGATGATTTACAAAATCGAATCAGGTAATTGATCTCGATCATATATTGTATTTTGATAATAATATTTCTTATTTATCAAAATATCGATTTTACATTACCCTGCATAATAAAAAGTAATCCGGTTTAGACCTTTACTATTATATGATTCTTTTTGGCGCCTTTTTCTTATTATCGAAAGTAATATCATATATATAGCGAGTGTAACAGCTGTATTCAGATTATATTTACTATAATGCCTTTGTATATAAGTTTTTTTCTATTGCTAGTTCATATTATTCGTATTTATGTATTGTGATTCAAGGATTGTGAGATGTTTTGTGATTATGTTATGTTGTATAGCATTACATGCTAGCCAATAGTATTTATTAAAACTGCTTTGTTGCGTCTCTTAATCCTACAAGTCTTCAGTTCTTTTATTTCGAAGTAATCACAAAATTGTTATGTTCGGATGAGCAAAGCAAAGTGAAGTCGATTCAATGACTATAATTATTTGAAGCGTGTGTAATTTTTGTGTTATTGTTAAAATGTATATTGTTCGTTACTTTTTAGATTTTTTTAAATTTTCTAATTAAATTGGACACATGTATGTATTGTTAAAGATCAATTAAGCATATGCATTTCTTTAGATAATTCCTTATTTCAAAAGTGCTTTCCTCAGTATGCCCATTTTATAGGATTTCACTATATACTTGTATCTTATGATTTTCAAAATGTCGATTTTTTTTATTTTTATTTGATAGGAATGGATGACCAATCCATATTTTTTCATTGTTTTATAATATTTAGAATTATCAAGCACAGTTAGCCTACGCACATAATTTATAATTTACAATAACAGTGCTTTAAACATATATATGAGAATCTGTATGCAGCTGTATATGCATTTACCCAGTGTGGAGAATGGTATAAAGTAAATTGTAATACCGTTGTATGTGTAAAATACCCAAATATGAAAAAAAAAAGTAAATCTTACGTGTAGTTCAGCATTCAGCTAGAACCAGATAATTTTCTTGCGGTGAAAAATAACTTATTAAACGAGTAACAGTCCCAAGCTAACATAACACACGTCTATTGTATATGATACTACTTTTTGATAGTCGTGTAATTCATTTCTATCGATAAACGAAGGTTATTAAATATATATACTCTGTACGTAACTAATACAAACGTTTTCTGAAAGCAGAGCAATGAAGCGAACTGAAGATTTGTATATTTAATTATACCACTTATGACTTAAGGACTATCTTTTGTGTCTAACCCATTTATTTTGAAAATAAATATACTTTTATCTGTTTTTGTTGTGACGTTGGTAAGCGCCTCACTAGACTCAAGCTAGCAGCCAGTTTTCAGATATGTCTAATAATCCAACAGTTGCAATGATTCAAACTTACTTAAAAAACGTTTTTATTAATATATAATAACTACAATAACTGTTTTATATAGAAGATATTATTCAATGAATTTATAAATTTCATTTCCTGTTCAAAAATTTGAATACAATATTATTATGCTTTCAATGTACCAAACAGCGTGCTGCACGCTTTAAAACTTTAACAGTCAACACTTATGAGTATTAAATAGAAAAGTGGTGAAAAACGTATTGCTGTAGGAAATTTTTTATTAACTCCCAAGTAAGGATGGTGTAGGGGGTCATATTCCAACTTTGGACCTTTTTTTAAAAATCTGTGCTATACCCCACCTGGAAATTTTTGTCAAGCAGGCCCAAGGTCCCCAACTTCCGTTTAATTTGCACCTAGTGGTGAAAAAAGAATTGCAGTCGGAAATTTTTTCACTAACTCTCAAAGTTAGGTCGGGGTAGGAGGTCATATCCTAACTTTGGACCTATTCTAAAAATAAATCCGTGCTATACCCCTCCTGGAAATTTTGGTTAAGCAGGCCCAAGGTCCCCAACTTCCGTTCAAGGTGATAAATTTCTCGATTATGCCTGAATGTGATTCTCGTTCCACACGAAACCCAACCGTTATGGGAAAAGGTTACATTTTTACATACGCAATATACAAAAAGGTTTACATTTTTAAAAACTAAATTATTTGAAAAGGATGGGGTAACAGAACCCCAGCGGCACCCCTATCAATTCAATATTGAAGTGTCCCCCGAGCTCATTACAATGCACATAGTAAGTAGCCCTAGTAAAACATAATCATATAATTAAAAATTAATTCAGTAATTAATTAATACAATGATTAAAATTAGTTGACAAGTATATGTAAGAGAATAATAAGAATGATAATCCCTTTCTTCATGATAAAGCACGAGCATTAGCGAGTACTTATCATAAAGACAGGGATTATCATTATGATTAATGCGTGACTTCCGTTTTAGGCAATTCATTTATGGATAGGTCTTGGTAATTTATGGACTATTTTATAATATCGGAAAGTTTCATCAATTGAGTTTATGCATATGACATGTACACAACAGATACGATGAAATGGAAGGCATTGTTTGTCGTGAGTATGAATGAAAACCATGTCATCTATTAGTGAAAACGTATCTGTTTGTTTATTTACAGTTCAAAATCGATAAATTCTATGTTTTAGTTACAATTGAAGTTTATTCCATAGCCAATATTTGATTCTAATTCTTTACATTACATATGGTTTCAATATGTAAGGTAATTAACTAAAATGAAATGATCAAATGAAATGCCTTTAAATTGAAATTGAAATTTCAATTCTTTTAATACGTTAAGCAAATAATTCAAAGGTTAACGTAACCCCCTGTATGTAAATACTATATTTTTACCAACCGCGGATCCAGTAATCTGAAATTTTGTAAGTGTATAAGCTCTAAGATTAAGTTATATTAAGAATGGCCTTTTTTCTTTTTTTCCTTTTTGGGTTGCTTTGATTAAAGTATTTTTTATAGTAATTTCGAAGTTATTTGTATTCAAATTATAACTTTAACGTACCAATTTTTACTGCATCAGTTAATTCAACTATTTTGATATTTGTATGTTTAACTTCTTGTAATCTTCAACATTTTCAACTGAAGAAGTATTAGGTAGATGTTCACTATTTAATTTTTAATCAATTTCAATAATAAAACTTATTCCTCTTAAGCTCATAAATGGCTTTGGGCAGCTGTATCTCATTTATAGAAATTCCTTGTTTTGGACTGTAAGTACATGTAGGGTTGAACAAAAGAACAATCCCTTACTAAGAACATGATTTTCATTCATTCTTCAATTCTTCACAATTAAGGCACATCAAATCCTACAATTTCATTGGCTCCGAGCACTTTGCTATATTCTAACACAATTTAATCCTTTTATTCACTAATCTTGTTATCGACTTTTAACGACTCTTTAATGTTAATCATCGTATTAGTTTAACGACAAGTTGAATAACAGACACCAGATACATTAACAACGCCGTCCAGTGAACCGTATCACAGAGCACCGCGACCCTTAGTCAGACATTTACTGTTATGATAACGTTCAATGACTTTGGTGGATTTATGATATACACGTACGCAAGCTTTATCTTCTTATACTTTTTCAATTATTGTTGAAGGAGTTAATTAAAGTATGGACAACATGAAGACGGAATTACTTAAAGGGCTTTCGGCAATTCCAGTGCATATCCCAGCATGGTACCGTTATTACGAAGAAGGATCTCGGTTAAATGATATTTGTATGGAGCAGTGCAAATGGTACTATTTTCATCATTTTGAAATGAAAATTCTGAATGACATTTTAACTGTACGTACTCGTAAATTAGGATTATTTTTTTTGAGAAAACATGTTGTTTAGATAGAAATGGATATCTTATATATGCAATATAATGTCGAAATAAAACGACTACGTACTGCATTGTATTGTAGATTATCATAACTTATCATATACTTAGCATTACTATGATAGTTTTTGCATATGTGTAAAGAGCGGAAGTAAACTAGCCATACATTCACACCCAGGCCAATAACCCATATCAGCCCTATGTGACGTCACGTGGTCGAGCTGATATGGGATTATCAGCCTGGGTGCGTTCGCACATCGGTAGTATATGATATAAAAATTAATTATACATGTCCTTTTCCAAATCGACCCGGGTATCATCCCTCGACCCATATTAGCACTCGACTAAAGTCACGGAATGATACCCCAGTCGATATGGAAAAGGCCATGTAATAATCTGTATATATAACGTTTTGCAGATTATTATATAATAACATTGATTCATAACTAAACATTCTTAGTTATTGTAAAAATAGTTTGTTTTTTATAAAAAAAGAAAAATATAGTATAATTCTAACGAGACAATTATCTCTTGACACAGAAGTTGTTAAAGGACGTAAGGACAAAGATGTGAACAATACGTGGCATTGCACGACCTTCAACAGTAAGCAAAAACAATCCCATATATAAATCTTTCAAAAGTTTGAAATGAGAAAATTTGAAACAAACCAAATTTAAAACAAAAGCCTGATTCAGCTAAATCAATAAACGAACGAAAAAAATAATAATTGCCGACAGCAACCAATGTAGCAGAGTTCAACAGGTTTGTAACCGCTCAACACTCTCAAACCACTTCGGACAGTGGTGTTACAGGCCAACATAAAACAATCTGTAAAAAAGGACTTGATTTGGTCAATATTTGGCACAATAACAAAAAGCTTTTTTTTCATTTTAGTAATGTTAATGGGCATTCATACCATATAACTTTAATTCCTTTTTAGCAATATTAGTGGGCATTAATACCAAATAACTTAAATTCATTTTTAGCAATTTTAGTGGGCATTAATACCAAATAACTTTAATTCCTTTTTAGCAACAATAGTGGGCATTAATACCAAATAACTTTAATTCATTTTTAGCAAAAATAGTGGGCATTAAAATACCAAATAACTTTAATTCATTTTTAGCAACAATAGTGAGCATTAATACCAATTCTAATATGACATGCTTCTTTCGCTTTGTAAACAACACCGTGATAAAATTCTCGATATATCTATACTTAGCGCAGACTCAGAGATATACATAATAATGGATGTTACAATATACCTCCCACATAAATTCACATGTATCGAAACCTATTTGCAAACGCTATGCCGATTTGTTTTTTTAAATTGCAATTAAAAAAACGACTACAGAACTTTTATTTTTATTCGGATGCATAACAAAAAGGAATAATGCACAAGTGCTCGGCGAAATCTACAAAATCCAAATAAAATAAAATTCCGCGGAAGTCCACTAATGTTTTTGGCGCATTTAAGTCCTTTCAAAACATGACGTCATACAAATGAAAACGCTAAAGCTGAAGGTTTTTCCGTTACGTGAACCATCGAAATTCGTATAATATTGCATAATGCATTTTTGAGGTAGGTTTTGTTTTGTTTTCTATTGTATTGCATTATTTGCATATTTACTGATTTCAGCAAGTCAACATGGCGGCTCCTTAGTAACGAAATTTCAACTTTGGATTACGAGAAAAACATGTAAATCAAAAATTGCAAATGTTGGGTTTGAAAATTAAAAGAATTAAAAACAATTTTTCTTGCTGTTATTTACGAAATATTTGTGCAAGCTACAGATTTATTAGAATGTTTTAGCTTTATCTAACAGGGAGTAAAAAAAGAACAGCCCCACACACGGCATACCCACTCTCGCTTCAGTTTTTTAATGACCGTATTTGTCCTGTTAGAATCGAAATTATTCATGGAAGCCATAGATTTGTTGTAAATTTACACATGGCCTGGGCTATGAATTATTTCTTAAATAACTTTAATTCATTTTTAGCAATATAAGTGGGCATTAATAACAAATAACTTTAGTTCATTTTTAGCAATATTATTGGGCATTAATAACAAATAGCTGTATTTCATTTTTAAGCAATATAAGTGGGCATATCTCATGTTTCTCTCAATAAATATGTTAACTACATACAATTGCCCTGGAAATATACTTTTGTAGATTGCCATCCTATCCCTAACAGTTCCGTCATCACATGTATCATGGCGTAGGGCTGAATAACATTTGCATCAATCGGATTCTGTTTTAAATGTTATTTTATTTTCGTTTATTACAAATGTAAAAAAATCTAATATTCAAATTCCATCAACGTTTACCGGTGATATTGAATCTTGTCATGCAAGTAAATAAAAATCAATTGCTACGTTCTAAATTTATAAAACCTTTCTAGTTGGTAGATGATAAAATTTTGTAAGCGCTAAAGGGTCAGAGATAAGAAAACATTATCATTTCTATGGCAAGTATTTTCTTTTTTAATGTAGTTGTATTTTCAAGGAATTAATAGATAATTTGAAAGATTCGAGAATGCTTGTTGACCTTGGTAGTGGAAATGCAAGCAAGACAATGTTGATCTTAGATAAACTTTTAAATACGCACGAATCTCTTTCTTACGTCCCAGTAGATATTTCTAAAGGTTGGTATATAAATCATCACGTGCTAGGCATATCTCATGTAATGATGAACGCATATTTATCTTCTTTTATTTGCGGGATTTCAAATGTGTTTTTAAAGTATCTCCTTTTGTTGTTGAAATATTTGAAAAGAAAGTCGATTTTTTGTAAGCTGAAACATTTCGTGGTCAGTATGAATACTGCATTTAAGGCCAGATACTTAGATTCAAAGAATTACAACAACGTTTACAATCATTTTTCAGGTGATTTAGTCTACAGAACAAAGGAACACTTGTTTTGATTTATAATTCTATAATTTAGTTGGAATAAAAACGATGTTATCATATTTCTTCCAATGATACATATTAGCAACAGCAATAGCTGCGGAAATAAGTATTAAAAACGACATCTCGGATTATCCGTGTTACTGCACAATGTACTACTTTTTCTAATGTTCTTGTATTTGGCTTAGATTCTAAACACTAACATTATGATTCACTATTTCATAGAATTTCTCAACAAAACCGCTGCAAACCTGAAAACAATTTATAAATTAGAAATCCAGCCAATCGGAGAGGAATACATGGAAGCACTGAGAAAAGTAAAATTAGTATGTTTATAAAAATGTCTATGGATAACACTGAATATAATTCTGTCTCTCAGAGATACAGAAAATGAGCTTGCAAACCCGGGTAGATTCTGTTTGTATACTGTAGGGACTCAATCTTAATTGTCTTAAAAATGTTGCATCCTTATTTGTTTTAATGTTTCAGGGGAAAATCTACGAAAACGACGCATAGTTCCTTATTGAATAAAGTTGGACCTACCCTTTTGAATGATTATTTTAAGATAGGAAAATTGTCAAATGGAGACCGTCGCTTGGCTCTTATGAGCTCATAGTAGCCCTCTTTCCACATTTCTATGATTTATTGTTTCCTAACACAGAGGCAATGCAGACAATATAGAATCGCGAATGGATTTATATTCAAGCTGTCGTGTTGTTTGTATTGTTTACAAAAAAGTAACCACCCACAAAAACCATTACCAAAGCGCGTGTATCCAATAATGGTAAAGAATTTATAATTATGCAAATAATATAAGAAGAATAATTTTTTCCAGTGAAAACTTTTACAGGTACCGACCGTTCATCATTTTTAGCGTGTGGGGAGCGATGGCATTTAAGTTTTTTTTAATTCTTGCTTGTTTTTTTTTTTTAAATTATAAAAAAAAAAAAATACATCTATTAAAAAAAAGAAGATTTCTTGTTTCTCTTTGTTAGTGAAAAAAATAATTTGTCTTGAAATAATTCGTTTACTTACAGCCATTTTTTAGACAGTTATAATTTCTGATTTATGTTTCCAAAAAACATCTTACGTGTCTTGAATGTGTTAGTTGATTCCAGCTTCCCAAAGCATTTAGTTAATAGTAATTTTCCCCCCATTATTTTCATTCACAGAACTTTGACAGATAGAAAAATAATTGTATGGTTTGAAAGTTTGCAGAGTTTATCGTATGGAAAGCAGTTAGGTTATCTATTGGAAATACGAAACACTATACAAGGTACGCTAGGCGAAGAAGGAATGAAGTGATAACCTTGACCATCCGTCAGTCTTTCCTTTCTTCTGTCCTTCCTTCCTTCTGTTCGTCTGTTCGTCTGTCCATCTGGCATATAAAACCAAATTTTGTTTAACAAAGGGGCATTTGGGGTAAACTGTATTTTAATGAGACACCAAAACAGCGACGAAAATAAATAAAAGACATTTATATAGCAACATACAGCCTTCAACAATAGACAATTGTTTATACAATATGTTGAGTGCATCACCATTGTGAATACATGAATCAGAAATAATTCAAAATTTGCAATCAACACCAATTGTCTACTTGACAAAAACAAAAAAAGATATGACATGATAAAACAACTGGAGGACTTTCTGACTTGGGGCAGACGCATGAGTGTTGTGAAATCTCAATACCTACTATTGCTATCTCGATCCATGGACTGACACAATGTCTGTCAAAGATTCACATACTAAAATGTACGGAGCCATGTTGTTCTCATACAGATAAACAGTTGTGGTTTTTAAAGTCAAGCGCTGGATATCTAAAGTCAAGCGCTTGGGATATAAAGTCCAGCACGAGAGATGCAAAATCCAGCACTGCAGGTACAAAGTACTTTACATCTCCAGCGCTAGACTTTTAATAACACGTTGATATATAATTGAATTTCCATTTTCTAGCACTGGGTCGAAACCTGGAGCGCTTTTTGCTAAAAATTTGATCGTCACTTGGTTTTTATCTCGAATGAATTTTAAAAACCAAAAATTCAATAAAATATACATGTTACTGACGTTTTTGTGTACTGCTTACAATGAAGCTATTGCATCAATGGTTTTAAATGGTAAATTTGACGCCATCCCTTCGACGTTTTACTGTGGCCATCTTGATTTGGCTGACCGTTTATAAACATTTGGGGATGACTGTGGATGCATATATGTAACCACAATCCTCTCCTCTTTTGTCAACAAATATTATTGCCGTGTTTATACTTACAATGAGAAACAAACCATTAATTTTTGCTACAAGCACACGAGCAATTAGTGAAAACAGTCTCCCAGGTTAGAGGGCGTCTTGAGCGCTCACACACATGTTTAACCCCGCATTTTTGTTTGGCAGTAATTCAGAGGTTGTCGTTGGTTCAAGTAAGCAATATTTGTTTTTCGTAAATTGTATTGATACACATTAAGCCGTTAGCTTTCTCTTTTGAATTGTTCCACATGTTTAGATCGTGGTCTTTCATATCCTAAAAAACTACACGGTCTGGGGTGATCTCATTTTGAAGGCAGTCTAGTGACCTATGATTGCTTATACACGCAATTTGAACTGTTGGGGATAGTTGTTTCATTGGCAATCAAATTACATCTCTTTAATTTTATATTGATTAATAAGGGTGACAGAGCTTATAATTGTAATTTTGGAATGCGTATACATAAATTGGAAACATATGACGGATCAGTTCATTCGTCCTGCAGCCATTAAAAAATCAGTATCTGTATGAAATGAGCGACCACTGTAAATATAGACATTTGCATATGCTTTGTACAATGTAATAGTTTTAAACGCGAAGTTGGATTTTGAATGTGTTTCTTCAAAACGATGAATGTAATAAAGACGACCTGCCACACTTATTTGATATGTTGCCAGTATTTGTTCGAACGTCAAATAATGTTGGGGATCAAACTCATGACCTCCTAATAATTCCAGTGAGCAATTAAATATCCTACTAAATACATTTATATACGAGCATTAAGGAGACAACCATACACACAAGATGAAATTGTATTGTACAGAAAGACAAATATTACGTCAATGTCATTCTTTTTTTTTCTCCACACAATACTACAAGAACCACAACAACACTAACGGCAATCGTTGAACTATTTGATTTTGTTGGAAAGATTTATCATGCATTGTTGCATGCCTTTTTTGTTCCTATCCTGAATCATTTACCTCGTCAGTGGTGTCTTATATTACATCTTTATCTTTTTGTCATTTTGCAAATTTCTTTTTCATGGCAAATCTTTCTGTTTAATTTACTTTAGACTAACTTGGGACAATTTAGAGGCTGACATAATATATAAACACCTGTACACAGTTATCGTTGGTTATTCGTATTTGATGCTAGAGTGTACGCACCTGAGAATTAAGAATTAGAGGACCTTATTTTGACACAAAATTGGCTGTAATTTTACCTTTGATATATACATTTTTTTAAATCTTTTTTAGGGGTGTTGCCGGGTGCCCACCACCTGAATACGCACTTTGTAATAGTGGAATTTTGTTTCATTCACGTATACCACACAACTCATTTCATTCAATTACAAAACTACTGATGCAAATTATTTGTTAAATTTTTGTTGCAGTCGATGACAAATTATTGATTACATTAGATGTCACAGACACTACTTGTAAGCAGACGATAGAGCTTGCTTACCTATATCCGGAAGGTAAATATAAGTCTCCATTCATTTGACAGTACACAAATTTATCACATCTCATTTCCAACCTCTTTTGATTTTATTTTTCTTACCTTAACGTAATGTACAATTATGCTTAAACTAACATATATAAATGTCAAAATCTTTGATTTTTATTATTTGTCCATGAACTTATAAAATATGGTGCTCACTTTGGATTTAAACCTCGTAAAAAAGGAACAATACAGCATTGCCGTGTGCCACTGGTTCGTTGAATATTTCCCCTTTTTTGAATGGCTACACTCCCCAGTTTATAATGACATCAAACTAAAATCTACAGCTACAGAATGTAATATTGTGTATATGAAATCTGTCATATAAGAACAAAATTATTATATAAAATGTTGTTATATCTTACATGCACTTTTGTATTAGTCTTTAGTTATCTTCTCAAAATTGATTGTGATAAATATTTTTTTATGTAGGATACTGCGAAAATTTTCATCTGATTTCCATCCATCGCTTGAACAGGGAAATGAATGCTAATATTGATATATCAAAGTTCAAAATAAAAAATTAATTGGTTGTGAATTCAAGGTCAAATAATTGTAGCTACGTGAATGTGTGGAAAGAGGCAATAGATAATTGTGATGTTCACATAGGTTTGTATAAAAATAAATATGACTTAAGTGTTTGTGCCTGTCTGTATATATTTTGTTTTCGATCGTTTTTACTACATGGCTTAAAATATTTTTGACATGCTCTCGTCCTTATTCATAAGCTTCGATGTCTTGTCCAAATGATGTGTATTTAAGCAACTATAGGTCCTTGTATAGTCTTTAAAAAGAGCAAGACCCATACCGTAAAGTCAGCTATAAAAGACCCAAACATGATAAAATGTGAAAAAATTCAAACGAACAAACGGCCTGATTTATGACAAAACAATAAACGATATTAAAAAATGTGACAGACAGCAACCAACGACAACCATTGCATTGCTGAATCTAGAGAATTATCACTTAGATTGGATCAAGATTTGCTGTAGT